GGTCATCTGCATATTGCAGGACATTACCTAAGTAATTCACAGATCTGTCTAGATCATGAGTGTAGAGACTGTATAACAAAGGGCTCAAGACAGAGCCTTGTGGTAGTCCCTTCCAGGTCAATCTAACTGGTAGAAATTTTCCTTCAGAACGGACTAATATGCGTTTACGAAATTTGTTATTCTCTCAGGAATGTTCAGCTGATGCATTTTTTGCCTGAACAGTGGGAGAACAACATTATCATATGCCGCACAAACATCAATAAAAACGCCTACCAGAAAATTATTATTGGAGAATGCAAGTCTTATGTCGGATATTAAGATGCTAAGGCTAACCATTGTGCTAAAACTTTTTCTAAAACCAAATTGGCTCTTTGGTATAATGCCTCTATTTTCAAGAATCTACTCAAGTCGATTTTTTACGAGGTGCTCCATGATTTTAGACAAGGTTGATGAAATAGCAATAGGGCGATAACTTAATGCTGAAGAAGGGTCTTTACCAGATTTTAGAATGGGTATAATAATATGAGTTTTCCAATCATCAGGAATGGAACCGGTTGTAAAAGCAAAGTTAATGATGCTTAAAAATAACTACTTACACTTAGTACTCATATTAACAAGAAATGACTAGGGGATACCATCAATGCCAGGAGTGGAATCCTTTAGGTGCCTAAGTACTAACTGCAGTTCAGCTATTTAAAATGGTTCATTAAGGTTATTAAAAGAGTTAGATGAATGAGGAGGGAATGATTTAGAGTTAGGAAAAATCTCTTCTTCCAATGGAACCCAGGGGGGAGCCAGTCTGTTACTGAAGTCGTCTAGCAAGTGGGAAGGGTCTACACAAGGGGGATTACTATAATTTAAAGCACCACGGAAGCACCTGATGCTTTTCCAGACAAGAGAATAAGGTGATCGGGGAGATAGGCTCTCACAGAATGAAAGCCATCCTTTCTTTTCTTTTCGGAAAGGAGTTTTTTGGTCTGAGCAGCTATTTTTTGATAATCTAGAAAATTTTCCATGGTCATATTAGAGGAATATAGCCTTTCTGCAGCCTTTCGTTTTCTAATAATTGAGGAGCAGTCTGCATCCCACCATGGAGGTGACGAAATTTTTTTTGTGGAGAAATTCTTCAAAGGGAAAATTTTGTAGGTTATATTATTCAGAAGGGTTATAAATTGGGAGTAGACACTCTGAAGGTTATCTAAAGAAACTGTGGGAAGGTCATTGATATGAAGTTCTGATTTTGAGGAAAATACATCCCAATCAGCTTCAGGCAGGTTGAATTTGAAAAAGGGAGGTATACTTCGAGTAGGGACACATCTTTTTAGGTCATCATTACTTAGGTTTAAGAGGGTGGAAAAGTGATCACTACCAAAAGAGGAAGGAAGAGTTTTCTATGACGTGCTAGCAGGAAAGATTGGAGTGCACAATGACAAGTCTACTGCGGATCTAGTATTCTACGAGGGGTAGGACATTCTAGTGGGCGAACCATCATTTAGAAGACAAAGATTAAATTAATTGAAGACATCAAGTAGCAAATAATAAAAAGAGTCAGATTTATGGGAACCCCACATAACATGATGGCTATTGAAGTCTCCTAGAACAATGTAAGGTGGGTAGATGCTTGATAGAATTAAATTGAGTTCTGGAATAGAAGAAGGAGTGGGAACTGGAATGTAATTGGAATGGATAGAATTGTGATGTCCAAAGCCTTAACAGCTACTCTCGTATTGCCTAGTATAGGAGGAAGCTGGATAGGTGATAAAGTTTTTTTTTATTTGAATGGAATGGTCCTGTTTAGTAGAATCAAAGCACCGCCATAGCCGTCACTCCTAACTATGATAACAGGAGAAGCCTGGGATACTAAATGTGGACCCTGGTTTAATAAAAACAAGTTAATTGAAAATAATTTCACTTGGACGTCAGTTGGTCGGTATGAATGTGAAATGTGAACAAGATATCTTTCAAAAAACCATTATATATTCGTGGCAAAACTGAAGTTATGACTTTAATTTTTTTTTAATAGATTTAGATTTTAATCCTTAGGAAGCCTTTTGAATTCCACTAATATAAAGCATTCCGTTCATTAATATATTTTTTATTTCATTAATTATTTGACAAGTTTTTTTCTGTAACAAAATACGAATCACCGGTATCAAGCAATAAAAAAAATTTCGTGTTAATTAAACAGATTTTTTTTTCTGTAGCTTAAACGAAATACGTGTTGCGGTAATTAATAAACTTAAATTGATTATTCAAAACATTATATGATCGTTCGGGGTGTGCATTTATGGATTTTCCAAATTTATTTTTATTTTGTATCGAATTAAACGATATGGCAGTCCATCCATTGATTTGTATAGCAAAGGACAGCCTTGACTATAGAATAGAATAGAATATTTTTTTATTCAATATAGATCACATGTGTAATTCTTATTGAAAGTCATTTTTTTCTTTACCACTGGTTCGAAAAAAAAACCTCTGTCCTGGGAAGAACCAGCAAGAAGCCCAGCGGGACTTTTTTTTAAAAAAGCATATTTTACATTAATGATTGGTAGATACAAAATTTATTTTATAAATAGCTTGGAAGCGACCACCTCATTCCCAGGGGTTATTATCAACCACGTATTCATTTATACTATAATAACCCTTTTTATACAGTTTCAACTTAACAAAACATTTAAACTTGGTAATAGAGAGAGCCTGTACACTTTCCGGGACCCTGTTGCAATAGCGTATACATTGCCCCATGAATGAATTACTGACTCTGTGGAGTGAGAAACTGGTATCACTAGCTTGTGTTTGTTCCTAGTGTTTACAGAATGTACATCACTTTTCTTACTAAAACTACCTTTGTTTTTGTGAACATACATTAAATTTTCGTAAATATACTGAGAGGCCAAAGTTAATATATTTATTTCTTTAAATTTATCTCTAAGAGACTATCTCGGCTTTAGGTTGTAAATAGCTCTAATGGCCCTCTTCTGTAAAACAAAACTAGTTTCAGAATCAGCCGCATTTCCCCATAGCAAAATCCCATAAGACATTATGCTATGGAAATAACTGAAATAAACTAATCTAGCTGTCTTGACAGTAGTGAGACCTCTAATCTTTTTTACAGCATAGGCTGCAGAACTTAGTCTGCTTACTAGTTTGGACATATGGGGGCCCCACTAAAGCTTTGCGTCGAGAGTGATGCCAAGAAAAACAGTGGATTCAACAGGGCTCAGTTCTTTCCCATTTAAAAACACATTGGTACTCAGATTTTAAACATTCGTTGTTGTAAATTTAATACATTTAGTTTTATTTCCGTTTAAATGTAGACTATTAACGTTAAACCAATGCACTAATTTTGATATAGCATTATTCACTTCGTAACATTTAAATGATTGACGTTTAAGTTTAAAAATCAAGGAAGTATCATTAGCAAATAATACTATATCATGATTATCCCCTACAAGAGAAGGTAAGTCATTAATATACACTAGAAATAGGAATGGGCCGAGAATGGAGCCCTGAGGGACACCCATTAGTACAGGTGACCCGGAAGAACTTTTACCATTGATAATAACTTTCTGCATTCTATTACTTAAATATGAAATAATGAGTTTAAGCGCTGTGTTCTTGACACCATAGTACTGTAGCTTCCTGATTAATGTCTCGTGGTGAACGCAGTCGAAGGCCTTGGAAAGGTCACAAAATATACCCAAAGCATCCTCCGAATTCTCCCATGCACAAAAAATATGTTTAATAAGCTCAAGTCCAGCGTCAGTTGTCCCGCGACCCCTTGGAAAACCGAATTGATTTTTATGTAGCAATTTATTAATATTGAAGAAACTTAACATCTGATACAAAATTATTTTTTCAAAAATTTTACCAAACGTTGGTAGTACAGAAATTGGTCTAAAATTGGCGGGGTCTAATTTACTACCAGATTTAAATAAAGGTATGACTTTACTATATTTCATTAAATCAGGAAACAAACCAGATTCGACGCTTGTATTAAATATAGTGGCTAGATACGGTGCTATTATATCTATTATTTATTATGATGAACAATATAGTGTATCATCTATGCTAAGAAGTATGAAATCCCTATTTTCTAGTATAAATTAGTACCTAATTTATTTTATGAAATGGAAAGCATAGGAAATATATGCACTATAGCCACAAACTAACTAGAAACACTCACGCGCACAAAGGCTACCTCGCCTCAACAACCTGCACTGCACGGGACGCGCGTTAAGCCGCTTGGTATAAGTTTGGTACAAGGATACATTAGGACTATGAGTTGTTATATTATGCTCTTTAACATACTATGCTGGTTCGCTATGATGAGCGCTGGTACTTCTGATTAGATTGTGGTAGAAACAATAACGTTACAAGATACAAGTAAAAAAAAGTGTCAAGTACTAGACTTGACACTTTTTTTTAATCCTTTTGTAATTTTTATAAATACTGTCTGTTAAACAAAGTATTAAGTATAGGTGATATCCTCAGGTGATATCCAATAAAGGTACTTGTATCGATACTCGGTTTAAACAAGTACAGGTTTATTTGCTTACATCTTGACAACATCAACATGTTTTTGAAACTTTATATTTTTTGGTAGTTCTCTTTTAAAAATAGAAATCTCCTAATCTTGGTAATGCTGTCCAATTTTGGTTCATTTATCATTTTTGTTCGGCACTGGTAAAAAAAGGCACGTACCATAAATCACCATAAACAACGAGCCGTCATGTTGTCTGATCTGACACATGACTTTTTATGTTACATACACAAGAATATCTAATTTGATTCGACATTTGGTAATTAAAACACATAATATTAAATTTAATAGCCGCCTCGCCAATGAACCGATATCAAATTAGCGCATTACACATGTGAACGATGGGAGTCGTTTGTAGGCGACTAGGTTTGCGTGCGGTCTCCGACTGAGTTGACAACTGATCCAAATCGGGCTTCCTTAGCCGCCTCCATGAATAACAACAGGATATGATAACATGGCCGTACAATCGGACTCCGGAGGGAAGGACGACGTGAAGACACAGTTCGTGACACGAGAAGGCACATATAGGTTGATGACGCTCTCCGAATACTCGAGACCGAACCGAGTTGGATACACAAGCGGCTCAGGCTCAACTCATGTGCGCGTGTCATTGGTTTCACTACCGCCGGGGCCGGGGGACGGTGCACCCGGCTCTGATGGACAAAGTTCCGACGACAGGATATGTTTCAATCATGGAAAGGAACTCTATGTTTATGTTTACAGAGGTGTTAAAAAGGTAGGATGTGTATTGTTTACATACAAATGATGATCATATGAATTTCTATATAGTGTTCTTTTTTATCTTATGTATAATATGATATAATATGCTTTTCAAATAATCTGAATACTTCATTAGTTATCTAATTTCTTAGATTTAAGTTCTTATTTCTAAGTGTTCTCAAGTACTTACTTCAGTTATCTTATTTTTAATGTTACACTATCTATTCATAATTTATTTCATTTTCTTTATTGTATGTAATTGAGTTAACCCTTCAATTTATTTATTTGGTGACATATTTGCAATAAGTAATTAGTTCTGTTACCTATTATAGTAAGCATTTATGATACATCTTATTTATGATAATGTAACAGTTATTTAAATTAAATAATCTAAAATTTTATGCAATTGCTTAAGATTTTCATGTTTGCAGTCTTTACGCATTATGATTTACTATTTTTAGTAAAACTATAGACATCCGGTATTTGCGTACAGGGGTGTGAGTGGGTGGGGGGAAGAGGTTATATAATTTTTTTTTGTATAATTATTACTGCACTTTTTTACACAAGAATATTAACTCAGAGTTACCTCTACAACGGCTTTGGCGCTGAGGGATGTGCAGGCTCTTCGCTCTTGCGGTGCAAATCACAGGCACCTATGCTCACCTTCACCTTAATGGTCGTCTTCGATGATCGGCCGCAGCCGTTACGGCTCACACAGGTGCCTGCGACTTACTACAGTGGGTGGGTGCTGCCCTCTCTCAGCGCCTACGGCTTTACAAAAACACTAGGGGTAGGGTAGACAAGACTAGTTCTGATTCGGTTTTAGTACATATTTGACCTATCTTATCTATAAAGTCAAGTTGCCCTAAACTCTGCTATGACAATGGTACATGAAATATTGTAATATGATTTGTTATAATTTTGTTTTCTGAAAAACCTATTGACTGCTTTCCACTGTGACTCAATTTGTTGGTATGAGTCCCATCTCCAGCCACAAATGGATTGTCTCGATTCGAGTAATTTACCTTTTTTATGGGTTAACCATTTCGTTATAAGCAATTTTAGTGAAATTTATTTTTATCGTAATTAATTCAAAAGGCATTTCCGACATCCAAAAACAGTGTAAAAGGTTCAAGCCTACCCCGGACAAGCCTCCCAAAATGAAAACATAATTAAAATCAAGTACCGGATGTCTATAGCAAATCCTTTAAAATATATCCTTTTATAGCTGTTACTGCTACAATGTTTTTTTGAACACAACAATTTATGATTTGTTAATTTTTGTTTATGAAACTGAAAATATATCTTCGCCAAAATGAAAAAAAAACTTTCCTGCTAGTTTCAATTTTGAGAACTGTTAGATAACATTTCTTAACTCTTCGATCAACCTTAAAGTCAAATAAAATGCATTAATTAGTTGTTTGTAACTATGAAATATGTGTGCGGCTTGAAAAAAGAAAATGAAGTCTAAACTTAATTTAAAACGACTTTCTAGTTTTCTATCTAGTTATCTAAATTATCTTAATATTTCCCCGTCTAATTTTGAGGCAATCTATTTTTTAAATAAATAAATGTATACTTGTGTACATACATAATGGTGCTAAAAGTAAAACAAGAATGCAAGCAGTTACAATATTAGTCTTCTTCAAGGCCTCAAGTTATAAATTACCTGTATTGATTGCTTATTGGTGCCTTATTGTAAGTAAGCATGTGGAATAATTTTCTTGCACAGTCTGTCTGTTTAGACAAACCAAAATATGTGTGTTGACCATTTCAATGGTTTTATGGACTTTTGAACATTGATGATGATGATGATGAACATTGCAAATATGACATCATATTGAAGGAATCTCACTCCCCAGTTTTGTGAGGCTCAATGCATATAATATCTCCTCATTAAGACATGCCAGAAAGTGTTTCTGGTATATTCATGACTATGAAAGTCATGAATGTCATGTTTATCTTTTTGGAATTAGGGGCTTCAAACTTGTACCATCATCATCATCATCATTACAGCCCATCACAAGTCCACTTGAATATAGGCCTCCTCCAAGGAATGCTACAAAGCACGGTCCCATACTTGGTACCATACTCCAATAAAATTCTCATATATAAGTTTTGTAGATCTTCAGGCATATTTCGACTGATAAAGCTTTGAAGGATCTTTATTTTATATAAGAATTATAGTAATTAGATTTCTGGACTATGGTAATGATTTGCCCTTCACACTTTTAGATGTTGAATTCTAGATCTCCTTGTCAGTTGTCAGAGGCTATATATTAATCCCCAGATGCAGAATGCTGCACTTTGATGAATTTAATTTCAATATCTTTTTATCGTTTTTGAGACCAGAGTGTAAAACTAAAAAACTCTCCATTGTAAGCAAAAAACACCTAATGGGAGTTTTATAAGTTCAATCAGATTTGTTAAGTAAAATCTAAAGAGGTGGACAGTAAGCACCAATCCTTGGGCTACCCCACTTATCACTTGTTTTGGCAGTGACTCATTGATCTAGTGGTTATAAATGTATCTGATGATCTTGAGGTCCAGAGTTCAAATCCCAGGTTGGGCCAAAAAAGTTTTTGGCTTTTCTGTCAAGAAATTCTCAGTAGCAACCTAGAGTCCGGAAGGTGGCTGTTTTTCATCCACATCTTTGTCTTCTCTCTCCAGTCATGTCATATTACTGTTCCGTCCGACCATGAGAGTAAGGAAATAGAGAGTACACCTGTGTTTGTGCACACACTCGTGCACTATAATCCTGACCTGTGCATATGGTTAGTCTCCATTGAGTACTAGCTGCCGTAACCAAAGTTCTGACGGGAGGATATTATTATTATGTTTCGGCAGATATAGAGAATTGCCTATACAAACTTAGTTTTTTATTATAATAGCGATCCGTCCCGGCTTCGCACGGTTGATTTCGACAACAACGCCACCTACCGGCTTCAATTGTGAATCTAAATCCTTCTCTAATCAACTTATTCACACACAAAATTTCATCAAAATTGGTCCAGCCGTTTAGGAAAAGTTCAGTCACATACACACGGACAGAAAAATTATATAATATGCATGTAAACCTTCCTCTTGAATCATTATGTCTATAGATGAAAACAACATCGAAATCCTTTGTGTAGTTTCAAAAATCTAAGTGTACAGACGGCGGGAAGCGACTTTGTTTTATATGTCGAAGATAAATAAATTTTAACTAATTTTGGCAATGAATTGTTCTATTTAAATTTTAATTATTCAGTAAATACAGCTAAATTAAGTACTGATAATTTATAATATGCTGCCAAGGTTGAATGCAATGTCGTAGGACTGAAATGTGAAATGACATAAGTAATGGTTTTATGCAAATGAGACTATGCAATACAATGCAGTCATGCAGAATAAGTCTTTAACAACTTAACATTATGACAAGCTATAAAATTGGTATAGATAAAATTCAGAGTATAGAATTGAAGTTTACTTTAACATTGGTTATATAAAACATAAGGTTATATTGATATTATGTATTATAGTGTAAATGGTATGCAAATTTTTGGAGACCACTACAATTGTTATAGTATTATTAAAAGTCCACCCTTGAATATACTTCTCTCCCGTATATTGCTTCATAGGGAGAATATTTGCCATAATTGCCACACTTGGCAGGCGGGTTGGCAACCACAGTTTTTTATTTTTATGTTGTTTTTAGGAAAACATTGCTACTCATCTTTTGGTTTATTTTTCTCTGTCACCTTTTACAACACCCACGGGACATGGGTTAGCAGATATTCATACACCACGACTACCACTACACAGTCAATTATTAAAAACAATATTAGTGACAGTATTTAATAATTAGATCACTGTAATTAAAACTGTGAAATTGGTAGTTGCAATTTTAAGTATCAACTAGCTGTTCCCCGCGACTTCGCCCGCGTGTAATTTAGGTTTTTAATTATTTGCGCGGAACCCTAATTATTTTTCTAAAACAAAATTAGCCTAAGTTATTCCTATAACATCAGCTCTCTGCCAGTGAAAGTCCCATCAAAATCGGTCCAGCCATTTCGGAGACTAGCTGGAACAAACAGACAGATGGACAGACAGACAGACAAAAATTTTAAAAATTGTGTTTTTGTTATAAGTACCATATATACTTTGATATGCATTTGTGAAAAGCTGTTATTTTGACATTACAAACAGACACTCCAATTTTATTTATTTGTATAGATTTGCTCCAAGTTTTTAATGGTGAAGGAAAACATTGTGAGGACACCTGCTTGTTCAAGAATTAAAATTATTTTGAAGAAAATTGTTGGTCAATATACACTGTAGCAACAACTTTAAAGTCAGTTGCATTTGCTTTGAAGTAAAGTTTTTTGCTCACTAATTGCGTTTTTTAATAAAATTGTTCTCGAGTATGTGGTTTCCACACAATGTTTTGTTCACAGTAAATACTTTTATGAATATTTATAATTTGTCTGATGAACAAATGATGATTACAGCCTATGAAATGTCCTCTGGTGAACATAGGCCTCCTTCAAGCAATGCCACAAAGCTCAGTTCTGAGCCACCTGCATCGAACAACTTCCTGCATCATAACAGATCAATACTTTATCTAAAGTGTCTTCGGTGAAGGTTGATAAGTATCATGTAAACATCTCGCAATAGTGACTGTTGGTTAAGTATCGCAAACTGTCTGATGGGCGTCGCTTTATCGCGGCAAACACAGAGTTTTATTGTACGAAGCTCGCAGCTGTTGTCAAACGCGAGTCCGGGCTTGAAAACCAGTGGCTGCAGTGGCTTTTTTATTGTATACTACTGATACACCCCGGCTTCACCAACTGGGTCCCTACCCAAACACACAAAAATTTCATCAAAATTAATCCAGCCATTTTCGAGTTTCGGTTTTTATATTAGCACAAATAATTGGTCCATAATTTTAATGAGTTAAGGAACCCTGCTTTTTTTATCAACTTTCGACAAACAGACTAGTAAGTGCTGCCATAGACTTTGCTTGTGGGTACGAGGCTGACACTCGAGAACTGTTGAGAGTGACTGTGAGAGAGTAGTCGGTTCTACCAGCTATATGCCCGGCCCATTGCCACTGCAACTTACTCTGTTAAGGAATTTCGGTTACTCTAGTTTTACTGTGGATATCCTTAATGCAGAGAAACTTGAAGCATAGGCTTCCCCATAGCTCACTGACTCTTCTCTCTTAACGCTCCCGACTTGTTATTAACTGAATTTTTCACTAGCCAAATTGTTATAACATATACTATGTGCGTACTTCCAGGCGGCCGATCTCACAAAACCCGTGGACAAGAAAATGTACAAAGGCACAAACCCCACCTGCCACGATTTTAATACAGTCACGATGACACCTGATAGTGTATCCTTAGTTATAGGCTTTTCCACCGGACAAATACAGCTTATAGACCCAATTAAGAAGGAATTAAGTAAATTATATAATGAAGAGGTGAGTTCCATTACAATATTACTGATTATCTAGGAGCAAATTTAAATGTACAAAATTTGTCATTAAATAAGTTTAAATGTTTTATTAAAGAAAAATTCTACAAAAAGGGTTATTATAATATCAAATAATACATGAGTGAAAAAACCCCTGGGAATGAGGTGATCACCATTATGCTGGTTCTATTTAAAACTCATTTAAAATTTGTACAAACAAAAAACCTAAATTATTATATAATATAATAATAATAATAATAAATGTTTACCATTTTCATTTACAATTATATATTTATACTGCCCAACCAGATGAGAAAACTTTATAGATACCCCAAAAATAATAATAAAATATTTATTCATTGACCAAAAGTAATAAAATATTTAAAAGTTAAACTGATACAAAAATGATATGGACAGTGAAAGGACAATGAAAGGGTTCTGACTCAGCATGTGTTGCAGAGAATCTACAACACATTGTCCTTCTAAAAATATCATTTTTGTATTAGTTTAACTTTTAAATATTTTATTATTCTGTCAGCACCCATATACCTACTTAGTGAGCTACAGTATAACAGTACGCGTACATCACTGATTATATTACAAATAGCTTTTAGTGTTAAATTATTTATTTATTCATTCAGCCAGTACAAGAACTATTTAATTAACCAGTACAAGTTTTCATATTATTTCTATTAATAAATTGATAATTAATATTCATGTACAAAAGATAAACATAATATAAAGTATAATATGTTTAAAAAAAAGTGTAAAGTGTAATATGTTTAAAAAAAAGTCCCACTAGGTTTCTTGCTGGTTCTTCCCAGGACAGAGGTATTTTCCGAACCAGTGGTAAATAAATAAATGACTTTCAATAAGTATTATGTAATAATCTGTATTGAATAAAAATTATTCTATTCTATTCTATTCTAGTGCTACCTCAAATGTATTTTAACAATTTGTCCTCCAGTGAAATTTAAATTTAAATTCTTATAAATTGCCAGTATAACCTTCCGCCATGAAGAGAATCCTTTACTTGATATCTTCCATTGTTGCTAAGAAGTGACTATTAAAAATGAAACAGGAGATGTATAGCAACATCTTTTAGTTCCATCCATCCATTATAGCCTATAAAACTCTACAGCTGGACATAGGTCTCTCCCATAGATTGCTCATATGGTGGATATTGCCATAGTTGCCACACTTGGAAGGCAGGCTTGGCAACCGTAGTTGTTAATTATTTTGAGTTGTTATTCAGAAGCTGTGTAGCCTCTTACGATATCCACAGGGCGAAAGGGACAGGGATATTCTTACATCACCACTACACGGTTACCAGCTCAAAATAACAAAAATTGCAGTTGCTACTACTCCTGCATAGAGCAGCATCTTTGGTAAATATTCTGTGATGATGATGGCGATAATGAAATATGATCTACTATACATGGTAATATACATTTTTTACGTGGTAGAGCCATGCTGCAGCTATTTTAATAGTATAGTTCTAGCACGAATGGTTCGGCTCGACCGGGGAAGGACCGCACTCTCACAGAATACCAGCGTAACACTGCTGTGTTTCGTATAGTGAGTGTAGAGAACCGTAGACGCTTGTTGCTGGAAAAGAGGCATTCCATCTTAGTCCTCACGGGTGACAACGAATCTGCATTTTGATTCACAAACAAGGATAAATGTAGATGTCTATAGGCCACAACAACCACTTACCATTAGCTGGACTGTGTGCTCGTTTGTCACCCTATCCTAAAAAAACGTGGAGTTTGTGGTAAACCCCCACAATTGGACAAACCAAATGTTTGTAGTTAACTGATGCTAATGACATAGCCGATACAAAAGCCTTATTGAAAGTCATTTTACCAAAATTGTTTTTAATTTTCAGAGGCTGATAGACAAAACGCGCGTTACTTGCATCAAGTGGGTGCCGGGGTCTAGTAATCTCTTCATAGCAGCACATGCGTCCGGCCAACTGTATGTATACAATGAGGAGTTAACCTGTGGGACGGCCACACCACACTACCAGCTGTTCAAACAAGGAGATGGCTACTCAATACACACATGTAGAACCAAATCTACCAGGAACCCACTGTATAGGTGGGTTATAGGCGTTGAAGGCAGCTGTATAAATGAATTTTCATTCTCACCCTGTGGTACCAACTTAGCTGTAGTTTCCCAGGACGGTTTCCTAAGGGTGTTCCATTACGATACGATGGAACTGATCGGCAGAGCGCGGTCGTATTTTGGTGGATTCCTGTGTGTGTGCTGGTCACCTGATGGAAAGTATGTGGTGGTTGGTGGAGAGGACGATCTGGTTACCGTCTGGTCGTTCAGCGAAAGGAGGGTAGTGGCCCGAGGACAGGGTCATAGATCGTGGGTCTCTGTGGTCGCATTCGACCCGTATGTGGTCAGTTTTAGCGAAGCTGACAATGAGGATGTTGCAGAAGAAGACAAGAAAAGTGAAAGTGTGCAGTGTTATAGGTTAGGCAGTGTTTCACAGGACACACAGTTGTGCTTTTGGGACTTGACTGAAGATGTTTTAAGGCCACCAGTTAGAGCGAGAGCGTCCGCTCATCTATCTCCAAACAGTCAGCACTTTTCCCCTAATGGGGTACCTGGAGGAAAGATTCCAGCAAAATGCCCCAAAACAAACAAGATAGGGCACAAGCACGCAGAGCTCAGTGGCCAGAATAACGCATCAGGAGAACCGTCTGGAGCGAAACCCGCCGCCAAGACGAAAGCTAACAACATTTCAACGTTAAACATCAGCGTTGGTAAAGCAAAAGAAGAGAATACTGGATCCCTTGGTGCTAACTTCACACAACGCTTAGCGGGCTTTTCGTTTGGTGAGAGGAGATCCGACCACAGACGGAACTTCAGCCTGACGAAGCCCACTGAAAAAGCATCCGCCACTAACACGGTAGCACTGAGAGGCAAGTCAGCAGGAACGACGAGCGACTCCTACGACCCATTGAAGCTAATAGGGACGCCTTCGTGTCCTCGATTTGACGAGTGTCCTGTCCTTGAACCGTTGGTGTGCAAGAAGATAGCACATGAGAGACTGACCGCTCTTTTGTTTAGAGCGGAGTACTTTGTGACGGCTTGTGCAGACGGTTGTGTGAATACTTGGGCGAGACCTACTCGAACACATAATGGGGACGCGCGGCCACGACGTTGCGACCGTATCGACCTCGTCGACTAATCGGAAGCTCCCCTTCGCTTTACACATGTGACTGTGGCCAAAGTGGAGTGGGAATGCAGTGTTCCAACAACATTATGTAGTCCAATAGATCCATTATAAAACCTCTGAGTAAGTAGATATTTAGTTAATACCAAGTGGAAAACAGTGCGGTCTGTTCAATTTTACACTTTTATTTCTCAGGTCATATTTATTGATGACCAGTTACTTGCTTTTATATTTACATTCTGGTGCCTATATAACAAATATTACAAAATTATTAGGATGACATTTGAAACTATTATATAGTATTCATTTATTATTTATATTGAGTAAATGCTTAAAAGAAGAAATAATTAAATATAATTTTTTATTATGTTATTTAGAAGTGCTCAAGTTTGAAACTGTATTTAACATACATAGAAAGAAAAAAAAAGAAAGATGTTAATCTGCTGTAACAATTCTTAAAAAAAAAGCCTTATACTTTACACTGGATTGCAACAACAAAAAGGCTCAATAAAATTCTACAGTAATAGAGTGACCGTTGTGCTGACATTCTGTAAGAGCCACATAAAGCAACTTGCGTGCAACACAATCACTGTAATTTTTATATAAAGTTCATATGATATAAAAATTGCATACATATTATACATAGAATTTTTCCCCTTTTCTACTCAGACCAACAGAAAGAAAGACGGGAGCGTTGCATACATTTTAAGTGATGCAAAAACCAAGGCAACAACGAAGTTATTATACGAATATGTACCCATGCACACATATGTTTCTAAAATCATTTGCAAGCGACAATATGGTTTTAGGTGCATATGTATATATTTAGGTGTATATATGTGCATCCAGCAGTAAACTTTAAGGGAACGATAAAAATAGAAAGAAGAAGAAAGATGTGTGCGTTAGTGCATGTCAAGAATATGAGCATGTTTTTACCTTCATGTGAAATGTATGCAACACTCCGTCTATCTTCTTTCTTTGATAATATCTACTAAGACAGGTGTTACTTTGAACAGACTGCAAGCGAAGGTAAAATGGTATAAGCATTTATTTAAAGCAGTTTTATGTTAGGCTGATGAAAATGTTTTGTTATTCCATTGTTATGAGGGCTTCCACAATTTCTTTCTGCCACCAGTGCGGCGCCGCTTTGAATTGAGGTGAATTATTTGACAGATCTCATGGTGAGGAAATTAAATTGTTAGAAAAGTGTAAAGATTAATATTTCTTTCTGAAATACCATTATTTTTATTAAGTAACAGGCCAGCAGTTTAAGCAACTGATATAAGCCAATATCCAAGTTTTGGACATGTAATTGTTCTATTTTAGTTGTTGATGCAATTTGTTCTTGAATTGGTTAATGGTTTGTGCAGATATTTATGCATGCAGATGTTTATATGTGGTAGAGCCATGCTGCAGCTATATTGGTAGTATAGTTGTAGAACGAATGGGTCGGCTCGACCGGGGAAGGACCACACTCTCACAGAATACCAGCGTAAAATAGCAGCTCAACACTGCTGTGTTTTGTTTGGTGAGTGTAGGGAACCGGAGACCTTTTTTACTGGAAAAGAGGCATTCCATCTTAGTCCTCACGGCTGACAACGCATCTGCATTTTGTTTCGCAAACGAGGAAAGATCTTGATGTCTATGGACCACAGCAACCACTCATCACCAGGTGGACTGTGTGCTCGTTTGTCACCCTATCCTATAAAAAAAAGATATCACTTCTGACGGCAGCTTGTTCGATACTTCAACCACTCTGGCTAAAAATGTACATGTGCGCGTTATTATGTGACATGGCTTTAGTTAATTTTAGGTGATGGCCCCTAAGATGTGTGTTTATTCAGTACTGGAATAAATATTCGACAAAATCTTCTAGATTGTAGTGTCCATGTATAATTTTATATGTTTCGATAAAGTCGCCTCGTTCTCTGCGATCTTTCAGAGTCGTTGTTTAAGTTTATTCAGCCTAACCACATATGGTATGTTTTTAAGTTCTCTAGGAACTTTTGTAAATCTGCGTTGAACCTTCTCCAGTAACTCAATATCTTTTTTGAAATCTCCAGGACTTTAGACTCAATGCACATTCCAAATCTGGAGTCTGGAAATATCAATTATATTTTATATTAATTACATTTGAAGTGGATAAACAAAACTATGAACATTCCTAATAGTAGAAGAATAAAAATAAATCAAGAATTGAAGAGTTAAAATATGTAAAAAATTACAGAACATACACTAGGAAACAAAAATCTTTCATATAAAACGCGAAAGTACAATGATGATGATACTCACTATCTGCATGACAAATAAGGTCACCTCAGTCCCACCTAGCGACATCTGGCGAGCGAAAGATAGTTAGCCCTCATTATAGTTAGTTTGGTAATGCGCCGTGTCTTGTGACTTGTTAATTAAATCGTGTGAGAGATACTTGTTAATTAAATCATTTGATGTTTATAACTTAATATGCTTATATTCTTTTCTGTGATTTTGTTGTGTTAAATAAAAATCTTTATAATGTAGTTGCATCATGTAATGACTCATTAAACTGTAAATAATATATATATATATATATATATATATATATATATATATATATATTTTATATATATCCTTATATATATAAATTGAGAGTCACATTGTTTGTCCGCGATGAACTCTTAAACTACTGAACTGATTTCAATGAAATTTTGCACACTGTGTGCAGTTTGGTCCAACTTGAGAGATAGGATAGTTTTTATCCGGATAAGTGACCCTAAATTTTTTTATTGCTAATCTCAGGAGTTTTTTTGTAGGAAAGCAAATGGTCGTCGGAAAGGGCAGAACAACGTCTGCCTGGTCAGCTAGTATATATATATATATATATATATATATATATATATATATATATATATATATATTATATAAAATATGTTCACAAATACATCCCACTAAAAAAGTACATGTGAACAAGCAAAAATGGTTAAAGCAGAAATTTTAAAAATCCGACAGTGTAAAAAAAAAACTTCCCCTTTCCTTTTAGTTGTATTTGCAGATGCAATATATAAGTATTACATAGCCTATGTCACTCCCACAGTTAAGACTAATCTAACGATACGTCATACACATTATGAGGTGACGATGGGTTTTTAACATTAGAATGCATCAAGCCGTTCAAGCTATACACACATACTCTCAAAAAACTACTCCTTCTTGGGTAGTCGGGTAAAAAGGGGCCAAGTTAGCTACAAATGACGATCGAGGTTGTCAGCTTCTCCGATAAACGATTGAGATGTGAATGGGTGGGCAGTTCCTTAAATAATACGAGTAGCTATAGAAATGTTTAGCATTCTTTAATTGATTTAAAATAAAATTTGTTATATGCTTTGATATTAAATTTATAAATGTGGCAAATTTAATTGTCAATAATACTTTCTAATATATTTAACTGCCGTCTGTCTTGGTATAATAAATTTAGCTTAATTCATATAATCTTTATTGGAAAGAAAAATTCAGCTACATGACAATCCTCACAATTTTTTCATCATCATCAGCCTTTAGTCCACTATTACACACACTATCACCGCTGCCAATCAGGTCCACTGCTGAACATAGTCCTCCCCCATAGATAGCCACAAAGTATGGAAAAAAGCCATACTTGCACCATCTAGTTGGAGGCTTGTACGAGGCCACTATTCGAGAACCTTTCTCCCCATAAGATGTTGGTCCTTCGAGCTATATATCGATCTTCTTTTCTTCTCCAGATATCCCTTTTACGGATTTTATTACTTAAAGAAATTCCGAGCATAGCTCTCTATGCTCCTTGAGCTTCCTTTTACACCCAGTACAGTGGACAACAATGTTTCGGTTCCATAAGTCAGCACTGGCAACACATACTGGTTGTACATTCTACATACAAGGGGGGAGACCCATGTTCAGCAGTGTGGACTTTTACGGGCTGGTGAAGAATATCTCATCCCAAATGTATATTATGCTCTTATTGGACAAAAGGTAGGCTTGTGCCCTGCGTTGAAACAAATAAGGGCTGTTTTTTTTTAAATTTACACAATCTAAGTAATAACAGTGAACGAGAATGCTGTAACTTCATACAGACGTTCCACAACGCACGCAAACAAACGCGGGGTCACCTACAGTAGCTTACTGAAAATAACGGGATATTTAATACTATCGACGCGGGCATTGCGCTATTTACTCTGCATGCTATTGTGGGTGAAGCCCGCGCTGGTGTGCGTGCGAAGCGAAACGCTTGTATGAAACTTACGTTCACTCTGGTAAATAATGTGATTTTTTACAGTGAATTGTTACATGATGTAAATACTATCTTAAATGTAATACATTTACAAATAGCGGCGCGAGTCGTGAGCGCCAAGTGACAGTATTTGCGCATGTTAATTTTCCAGCGAATGTCATATGTTTGTCCAATGAATGACGAAGATTAACTAACGTACGAATCAATGGACGGGAACGAACGTTCACCGTACCCACCCCGCGCCCTTGTACTTCACTAAAGAAACCTGTAAATCTACTATTGCGCATGTTATGGCCGTGCTCGCGACTCGTGCCGTTACGTATTTAGTAATTATAGCATCAGCAATTTGTACTTCATTATATGTTACACAAGTTCATAACAAATTCCCTAAGAAGAGTCTGTTTTAGAAAATCCTTTTAGTATCTGATAATGTCAATACTAAACGGAGTTAATTTTATAATAGTAAATAGTAATGAGATTCGACTGTATAGACGAGTGTGTATATTGTAACTATAAGGAGATATTATTTCTCTCGGCTCACTGTAAATATAGTATATAGGTTATCAAGCGATCAAAGATCGCTTGCACAGAAATACGTGGTTTGCGATAGCGGCAAACTCGCAAATCCTAATCTATATCAATATGTTATTGTTTCAGAATTTATAACAATTAGCAATTACTTTTGATATGTATTCGAGTCGAGTGAAGCAGCCGCTTATCATGAACGCACTAGTGCTTTCTCAATCTATTCATGTCACTATTTATTTCA